ATACATACATACATACATACACAGCTACATGCAGTTACATACAGTTGCAGACACACCTACCTATCTACCTACCTACATACATACATATATACATATTATGTACATCATACAGACATCATACACAAATAGCAAGAGCGCAAGAAACAGCCATACCCAACTATCGACCAGCTTTTCTGGTACGTCGAAACATACCACCTACAACCATATGCCATGATTTTGGCGTTTCATCCCCGCACAGCACATATGTGTGTCTGCCTCTGCTACTTTTTTGAAACGGCTCACCCATCCGTCCCGTGCAAACGCGAAGCCCCAAACAGACAGTCTGAAATCAGACTTGCAAGTAGACGTTGCGGAGCAGTTTAAGACAAACAGCCAACCCTTCGCCTCCAAACCCTCGAAAAAAGGGAGTGCCTAGCTGCCCACTCTATACCCCAACCCTCAACGAACCCCCTCAAGGAACTCTATATATATATATATATACCCTACCGTTTCAAGGCACTATATGGGTAGTTCTCTAAATTAGGTCCCTTTTTGCGTCCCCAATATAGAACGAAAGCCCCAGGAGCTGGATCAAGAGGAATGCCGCCATCAGCCTCGGTGCATTCAGGGGCTGCGCTGCAGGATAGTCGCTGCGCTGGTACAGGAGCAAAGAAGGCAGGGTTTAGGGTTTAGGGTTTGGGGTTTGGGGTTTAGGGTTTAGGGTTTAGGGTTTAGGGTTTTGGGTTTAGGGTTTGATGGCTTGAGTCCAACAAAACATAAATGGTTAGGGTTTAGGGTTTAAGGGTCTAGGGTAAATTGCCAAACCGCCACCAAACCTTGCAACCCAAACAGCAACTCGCAAGCATGAGGTGAATGTTCATAGATAAGAGCAAGATCCGTCCAGTTGAGGGTTCTGGGCTTGAGCTGCCTCCAGGGGGTTTAGGGTTTAGGGTTTAGGGAAGATACGATGACCCTCTCTGTCGTCTCTGGATCGGGGGCCTAAACCCTAAACCCTAAACCCTAAACCCCAAATCCTAAACTCAACGACAGATCTGGCTGCACCCCGGTGGCAGGAGCGCGGAGAGTCCGGAAACGCGTGCGTTGGCAGCCATGGCCTTGCAGGATTGGGGAGATACGGCTGATGGACAAAATTCTGCATGACCTTATAGGTTTAGGGTTTAGGGTTTAGGGTTTAGGGTATACCTAAACTATGGGATTTATGG